GACATTGTCTGTTGCACATTTTGTGCGATTTTATGCGCAGGGTGAGGCGAAAAAAAAGTAGGATCTCTTCTTTTTTGACATTTTGGTAGGGGTATCTCATGATGATCCGAAGATATCTTGACGTGGCCGAGCAGAGAAGCTTTTTCGTCTCGCAAACTCCGAATTCTGAAATTCAGACCAAGTGTTTGTCATCAAACAAAATACAACTCGTTCAAACTTGGACTTTGTTCTAGCCGATTTACTGAGCTCATATTAATAAATTTAACACTTCACTCTCGCGAAAAGAACTTCAATTCTTATCTTCAAATTCAATTACTTCTTTTCTTAGTTTTTCATCCATTCCATATCACATTTTCAGCTTTGTGAGTTTGTCTGTTTGACATATCTTTTTCTCACATTCCTGGCGTACTGTGCAGCATTGTGAAATACCGGTTTGCCAGTGAGCATTTTTCAGTTTGATTCAGACCATAAAGTAGGTTTGCTTTTCGAGTTGGATCGAATTTCGTGGTCGCATGAATGCGGCAATAATTTTTTTCATGCTTGAAGAAGTTTGCCATTTGTCCCGAAGCCGACAAGTTTCGAATTTTTGCATCTGCGGAGATCACGTTGTCATAATCTCTCTCTTTAGTTTCACTTGTTTCAAGACGTTCCGCGGAATGAAAAAAGTTCACGCCTTAATTCTGCTTAGCTTTTTTCGTGGAATGCAATGAAGGGTTATTCGTGAGTATACGGTGATGTTCTTTTGCTGGGGCCTGTGACTGTTTCGGGCATCGATTTTTTTTTCCCCGGGCGGTTGGCTCCTCGCATTCTGGTCTCCGCTACCAGTCCGATGATGAAACTTTTGTGAGGTAGCAACGGATGGATGCCAGCCTGTCAAAAGTCCCTGTTGGAATCAAGTTCGATGAGCACCAATGCTTTAAAAATGTTCGAAAACGTTTTACTCGCCTATGACGCGCACCTTCTTCTCTTAATTAAAAAAAAAAAAGTTGCGTGGTGTACTCGAGTATGATAAAATACGGTATAAATTCTTTGAATATACGAATAAATGTGGATTTTATGTGCAGGCATTCATTCGACCACGAACTCGACTTTCCCGAATTGCACGCTTTATATTTTGAAATGATGGTGTAATATTTACCTTAATTATGGAAGATGAACTTCCTCGTGAAGTACATTGGGCCACCAACAATTGGAAAGCGCATATATTTCAGTTATCCCGTTCTAAACTTTTCAATTTGTATGGAATTTACAAAGCATTCAGGGCTGAAATAGAGATAATGTCATTGGATTTGAATTATGTTGTAAAATGTAAATAGTCGTTTTTACAAAAGGATAATGAGAGGAACGAAGAGCGTCGATACTGAAAGATCAAAAACTTACGATTGTGTGCGTCGCAAAATATGTAATTCGTCTTCTTCATGACGAAACTCATTCTGAAGGCTGCAAAGAAAGTTCAACGTAACTAATTGCAGCAAGTGTAAAACTCACACTTGAACCAAAGATCATCATGCAAGGTAAGCGTTTCACGTCGAAAGGCTTAGTTTGTCTGTGCGTCTCTCAATGAAAAGTCGAGACACCGGGCATCGTAACATTCGCTTCTACATGCATATCGGTAAATATTGCATCATTCTCTAAATTGAATACTGGATAAACTCCGTAGTAAAGAAAAACAACGATCGCTTTCCAGGAAACCTCAAGTAAACACCGTTATTCGAAATATCCACATATTCAGAGTCTCGTCTTCTGCATAAGCATGACTTCGAAAGTCGTTTCACGCGTTCATGTTTGCATAAGCGAGTACGTTTGCTCTCTCTAGTTCCGCATGACGGAAGCTATCGAGGATAATCTTCAGGGGGAATTTGTGATTTGTTGCTCTACTGAACAATGAACTAAGATGAGTAAGATCAGAAGGAAAAACTAGAAAATAATCAGCGCTCAAACAGTATTATTGTATTCTGCGCATCACGCGAGAAGCGAACGTGACGTGTTTTCAAATTTCTGACATGTTCCCACGATGTGGCCATGTTCACCAGAAAGAGACGAACGTGTCCACAAATTTTTTCTTCGTATGTGGGATATATTTTTGTTTTCAAAATGACCGAAATTCGGAAATTTGGATTGTCGCCGCTTTTTCTTCTGTGTGTTCTATGGACTGAAAGATAAAAAAAAGAGTCACAACTACGCATACGAGCGTGTTCGAAAACGGTGCGTGTTTGAAACACTCGTACCGAAAACAGCAGAAGAACACGAGATAAGTTAAGCGAAATCATTTTTTCATGTTAGACAAGGATTTAAATGAAACGCAGTTTGGTTTGATTAGGTGAGTAACCTTGAAAAAAATGCGCCAAAGTAGAATAATACGTGTCTAGTGTGTTTAATCAATTTTCTGTCTGCATTTTCAGCGAATTTCTCAACTGTTACCACTTATCCCGCATCACCTCTCTCATCCTAATTGACGAAATCGCTGTCACTTCTCGACGACACGCGTAGATTTCGTATCTTTGATTCAATCGGAACGATTCAGTTACTATTAATGTCCGTCAGCCTCCGGTTTCGAGTACGTTGACTAACTTCGAAGCAGTATATGTTCTGGTTTGACGTCGTCGTGTTCGTAAGGTTTTTGAAAAGTTATTCCGAATATTTCACGCGCAGATTACCCGAAGTTGTACCAACTAGTTTCATAATCCATCGGATCTTATGAAAATGTCTCGAAAATATTTCTTTCTGGTTCGTGTCGATTTTCTTGAATGGTTGCTGGCAACATGTTTGCGTTGTCGGAAGATGTACGAGTCAAACCTCGATAAGCCGCCAACATTTGTTTGTAGCGATTTAACGAGGTTGTTGGTTTATCGAAAAAGCTAAAATAATACGAAAATCAAGTATAATAAGAAATGCAGGTCTTATTCGTTGGAAAACCATCGAAATAATTTTCGGGTGCGTAAATTATATCTAGTTACTGATTTAAAGAAGTAAATTTTGTCATCTTTGTGTTCCTGCTTTTTAAAATTTAATTTGAGACCTCTTACAGAAACTTTAATTTTGTTGGCAGACTGTTGAAGAAAAAAAAAAGATTGGCAAGAGCATATTTGAGTTGTCAATAATTGTGGCGGATGGCGTTTTAACGGGGTTTCCGATTCTATTATCATTAGAAATGATTTTTTTTTTCAAAATTAATTGTTGGTTGCTGAGGGTTGCGCCTTATTGCGAGTGTGACTATTATTCATGATCAAATTTTTGTGTTCGTCTAGGTTACGAATGAGTACAATGATCTGGAAAGGGATGAAGTGAACATAATATCCGGTGCACTTGACTTGAAGAAGAAGACGGTTTCCGAGGTGATGACGAAGCTTGACGACGTTTTCATGCTGTCGTATGAAGCCGTGTTGGACTTTACGACGATGTCGGAGATTCGACGGAACGGTGAATGTCGTTTTGTCATACAACGTCTGAGAAACCCTTCTTCAAATGCGACGGAGATTGTATTAATTTCTGCCCAGTTTAGAATGTGGAATGCATGAATCTTTCTTAATACTGTATCCCGAACCCGTGAGAGCCAAACGAGGCATTGATTGTTTCTTGTCTGTGACCCAGAAACTTCTTGAAATTGTATCTGACATTGAATCAATTCTTGTCTGGAATCCAATACCTGATTATCCGATTGTCAAGTTGGTGCTTCGACGATTGATTTTCATCATTTTCTTGACAATCAAAAATCGTTGTGACCGAGATAATATTAATCCCTGTGCTAAAATTAGTTTGCATTGATTTTTAGAATCTTCTCGACGCCTGACTTCGCGGAAACTCTACATTTAAAAATCAGATCGGGTCAATTCTCGTTCTGAAAAAATTCGTTCGGGTTTATTTTACAAAATTTCAATCCCCATAATATTATGGAATGAATTTTCAAGGCTACTCGAGGATTCCAGTTTACGAGAGAGATCGGTCCAATATCGTTGGAGTGCTGTATGTGAAGGACTTGGTGCTGATGGACCCTGATGATGATACCCCCTTGAAGACGCTGTGCGATTTCTATCAAAATACCTGCTTCTTCACGTTTCACGATACGACCCTTGACGTCATTTTCAGACAGTTTAAAGGAGGTACGAGTTATTGAAAATCGTCAAATTGTGTCCTGACTTTTGCGTTGCTTGTGGAAATTATTTTTGTGAAGCTAATTGATATGTTGAACGTACCGGATTTCGACTGCCTTTGGCCTTCGGAATACTTTATCTCAATGCATTATTCTTAATCAACTTGAGACCATTTATTGTTGGAAAACTTGAACCCACTTATTGTTGAAAAAATTGAACCCACTTATTGTTAATCAACTTGAAACCACTTGTGTGATCTCGAGGGAAATTTTCCAAATATTTGTCAAAGAGTACAATCGATTTTTAGGCCATTTAAAGAACTATTTTGTATTACCTCTTTGATGCTTCATCAACTCCATCAAAAACCTCCGCGCCGAAATTTTCATTTATAAATTCGTAGAGATTCTCGCGATTATATGAGTCGTTGTGTTATCTTATAGGTACCGTACTAGATTAAACTTTGCCCTACTTTTCCGTTTGTTCGGTTGGTTATTCGCAATTTTTTAATGAGCGAGTCCACTTTTTAAATGAAAGAGACGAAGCTGAGCTTTGAAAATAGGGTTCTTGTGGACCATTTTGATCACATTTTCGCAGGCGACCGTGGGCATATGGCTTTTATTCAACAAGTCATCGATACGGGGGAGAAGGATCCGTTTTACGAAGTCATCGGGATTGTAACTCTCGAGGACGTGATCGAGGAAATTATTCAAGCGGAAATTGTGGACGAGACCGATGTTTTCAGTGAGTGGTTTCAGCTACTTTGCCATCGAATTTTCACGTCTTCCACTGCGAGTACCCTCCCGTTTTTTTTTTCTTTTTTTTATTCCCTCGAAGGATAATCCGAGAGGAATGTTTTTTGAATGAAGTGTTTGACGTCACTGCCGTAATTTTACCTTCAGTCATTCGGTTTGATGCATTTTTTATGACGGCGGTGGCAAAAGAAAAAAGAAAAAAAAGAACCCAACCCCCTGCTCTACTTCCAGTTTTCAAAGAATTTCTTGAGGAATCCGGGGAGGTGTTTCTGGGGAGAGCGAGGTTACTGAGCTTTTTTTCGGAACTGCCAATCTCAAGTCGATTCTTCGGAAGAATTCAAAATATCCGATTTGCGATTTGCTTATGGAGCTTTTGAAAACTTTAAGCGTCAAGTAACTTTTTTTGATAGTCGTGATCAGGTTCATTTTTTCGAATTATTTCTGAAACTCGAAAGCGAATCTTGTATTCCAGTGAAAATCCGACGATGAAAGCATTTAAATGGTACAATTCTCTTCAATGACCCTGTAATAAATTTAATTTCAAAAAGCAGTAGGAAACCTCATTCAGTTCGCGAAGCCAGCGAACGTCTCCGCATTTTGAATTCCCCATTGTGCCCTTCTTTAAATTATTTGCGAATAAAAAGTTTATCGTGAAGGGAGTGGATTGTCGTCAATTTTCTTGCTTCTTGATGATGTACAAATAATTTGCAGCCGACAATCGGACGAAAAAACGATTGCGAAGAAACGAAGCTCGAGAAAACGAGTCCTTATTCGTGAACAAAAGACTCGACACGAAACTGCGGATCTCACCTCAGTTGGCCATGGCTGCTTTGCAGTATCTTTCTACATGTGAGTTGCATCATAACTGATCTCAGAATCCGATAATACGAAATGTTTGAGGATATTATTTCGAATATTGATGTGATCGACGTATTCTTGCCAACAGCCGTGGAAGCTTTCAAACCGTTTCGAATCTCGGAGCAGATCCTACGAAAGCTGCTGCAGCAAGACATATTTTTTCTCATCAAAGCGCCGAAAGTTTGGGAAGGCAATGGAGAATCGAGCTACATGATTTATCAGCGGGTGACTACGGTTTTTTGCGATTGTTTTCGGACGTTGTTCATCAAACCTTCAACTTTCCAAAGGGCGAAATGGAAATTAACCGTGTGGCAAATATTTTTTAATCTATTTTGATTCACTCATTTTTTTTGTTCTTAAATGATCAGGAAACAAATGAAAAAACGCAAGCAATACCATTCCGTTTACGATAGCAACGCAGCTGTGAAATTCACGGTCGAGAACATAAGATTTATCGTAATTGTTTTTATTTGCCCAAAAAAAAAAATGCATTCTCTTCGTTCAAAATTATTTGCTTGGGAATCTTACGTGGAACTTTTTCAACACTTCATCGTCTAATGATGAATATTTTAGGAACCCGCGAAAATAATTGCGTCATTGCGAAGAAAATCGCAGTTACGAGAATAACGCGATCACGAACGATCTTCGAATCGCATGTTTCTCTAAGAAAATGTTATTGTAAATCGAAGTGTGCAGGATGTGGCATTTATTTGTGTGAATGTGTCGACTGAATTTAGGGCAAGCCGGAAGACTATTTCGTCCTTATTCTCGAAGGCAGAGCGGAAGTGATTGTTGGATCAGAAAATCTGACTTTTGAAGCTGGACCTTTCACTTGTTTCGGAATGCGAGCCTTGGGATTTCTCGACAAAGGTTAATATCTTCCTGCAAATATTTTGTTTTGAATTGAAAGTACGTTTTTAAATACTGAACTTCGTGTTCGTTCCAAAATATTTACTACGAAGAGTGCTTCACAACTGGCCCATAATTCTGACGATGTTTTCTCGTTCAACTTCACCGACTTGAATTTTATTTTTGTTCCGCAGTTTCTTGAAATCAACGAAATTTTTTGCGGGTACTTTTATCCGGTTCAGTCTATCTTTATTCGATTAAAAAAATTTTTTTCAGATGATCCCGGCCCTGCTGATCAACCAAGATTTAGCATATTCAGCACTGGAGCTATTCAAAACTCTCGTTCAGGTTCACAGCAGTTGAATTCGGTTCATTTCTCCCAAAGCCAAGAGAAGATGAGTCCTGGCACGGAAAAGAAGCTCCTCTCTAAAAAACCGTCAACTTTGGCGAGAAACACTTCACACAAGGTGCGTATTGCGCTTTTAGAAGAGCATGGTGTTATTTTGCCATACTTCAAGCATCCAACGATTCTTGCGTATATCTTTCTTGTTTTTAGTTATAATCATATCATTCAATCCTGTGACAATTTGACGTGTGCGTCGAACATGCGTAAGATCATAACAATTTTGTTGAAAATTATCAAGGGAAAGTGGAAGGGCTCAAAAATCAGGAGTGTTCAGTTGAATTTGTTGCGGTCTGAAGAAAGTAGCAAACGCTTGAGTTGATCCAGGAGAATCACATGAAGGGGAAATTATGCGTGAAATGAAATACCATTTTCAGATTCTGAAGCGAACAATTTTTGCGAGCTGGTGGCGAAGCGAGTCGTCATTTTCAGTGGAAGAGGCATCGGTGAATAAGTTTAGATAAATTGAAGCAATCACCGGAGCTGAGTCGAATCACTTCTATTGGTGTTAGGGCAAACATAGTCGATGTGTTGCACTTTCCCGTGTTTCATTCCCCCTGTTAATTTTAAACTGCTGTCGATTGAAAATCATGTCGACTGTAGTTTGTCATTTACTCACTTTCCACAGTGATCAGCAGTTGCTCGTTCACCTTTTTTTGTAAATTGAATTGAATAAGAACGAAGTGTGTCGTGGCTCTTCGCTGTCATTAAATTCTTGGAATTTTCGTGAATGCGCGTGTTTTCAGTAGTCGTCCCAAACGCAGTATAGGAGTAGAAAATACATTTTTCGAGAACAGTTTATCAGTGTAGCACAGTGGGACCTCGACATAGGGGCGCTTTAATTCAGAGACACTTGATAGTGAAAAGGAAGAAAGGCCCCGAAATCTCGACAATGTCTCGAGATATGGAAACTTTCCCAAAATTTCTAAAAAAAACTTGTAACAAAATTTCTGGATTATAATGTTTCTTGAAGAAATTAATCGATTTATATTGACAGACATTTTAAAATAAATTTCGTTATAGAATTATCCTAATTCGTTATGAAGAATAGGCTAGTTTGTGCTTCTTTTTTCAGTATTTTCCATGATGTGTGAAAAATATCGCTGGACTTGTTCTTAGCTTCGTAAGCTCCTTCTGATACCAAAAGATCAGATTCTGTGTAGTTTTCTTCTGCACAAATTTTTTTTATATTTATTCCAGTTTTTGGGACTTCCTAAATTTTGGCAAACGGGAGAATCAATTGAATATGTTCCAAGTGAAGCATATGAGAAAGCGTGATTCGGCATACAGACGCTCCGAAATAGGGACAAGGTCCAAGCCCCAATTACGTCCACATCTCGGAGCACCACTTCATTAGTTATGGTTCAGTCAAATTAGTCTTCTGTACTTCGTGGATAAAAGAACCGATAGGAGTAACGATTGAAAGTTTTTGAAACCCCGAAAGTTTGTTGAGTTTTTCTAGTAGCGTTCTGTGCCGATGATAATTAAAAACACGCCGATTATTATTTTTTTGTGTTGTTTCAATTGTTCTGGCACCCCTTTGCGAAAATTCTGATTTCGAAGAGATCATCGTTGGTTTCATTTCGTTATGATCATTGAACTTTGAAATATGCGAATGCAGAATCCGTCCCGAGACCCTCCCGGCGACGACACCTTTGAGGAAACGGCGTTGTTGGTACCGCCTTTGTGCCACTCACGCCCTACGCTCAAGAAGAACAAACAAAAGATCAACAACAACAACAACATTTTGGCCGGGTGCTCAGGCGCGTGTCCCCATTGGAACTCTTGTCCCTCGGTTATGGGAAAACCACCACCACCTGACAATCCCGTGAGGAAGAATTAGGTTTTTCCCTGGTTTCGGAGAATATTTCATTTTCCACTCTGAAAAGAGGAGGGAGGGGTATTCATCTGGGTGTCTCTCGAGGAAATCGTTCAATTTTTATAAAAATCTATAAGTGCTCTGCGGTTTTTCGTTTTATGAGTTTATTCGCTTTTTTTTCCTAGCGTTGATGCCCAGATGAAAACCCCGCGTTCTCGTTGTCTGTGGTTCGTGGGTTAGGGTTTGAGCAACCCGAGTTCCCTGTTCGTGATCCCTCTGGGAGAGGATGATTATGAGGTCTCATCTATTGTGCGTTAAGTCGGGTCACAGCTCTTTTCCAGCATTGTAGATGTTTTTCTAGTCGTAGAAGGTGTTCTGGCATGGATGCATTTTCGTAGTGTGTGTGTGTGTGTGTGTGTTTGGAAGTACTGTACTATACTGTATCTTCAAGACATTTTCGGTCATGGTATCTGTTGAGAATATTTGCAAAATGTAGTGAATTAGAAGAAAGGTGAGAATAGGGAATACCGGAAATTCCGAGTTTTCTTCTGCGTTTATTTCGGCTATGGTTTAAATTTATTCCACGATCAGGCTCATAAATACTATTGCAAGACTTGATCTTCGACGAAATTCAGGGGACCAAAAAAAACTTCGTTGCAAGAAGAATTTTGTTTTAGAGAACCCGTATGGGACCAGACAAAATTTTTTTAAATATTAGAAAATCTACGTAGACAAAAATGTTGTAGAGGGCGAAAGCCTACCCGTAATTACACAAGGGTTGTTTCAATTCTGCGCGATATTGAGTATCTGTGTATACAGTATTTTGCTCCAAGCGACGCAACAAATAGTGAAGTATTTAATTTGTCAAAATTTTTGAGGGTTTTTTTTTATCGCACCAAGATGAAAACGGAAGCTTTGCGTCGGAGAGCACATCATTCATGCTGTGGTGTGCTGAATATTTTTTTTCGAGATACTGTAGATGTTTGAGCTGAACATTTTTTAGAATTACCGTATTTTTTCACATGTCTGTCCAAGATTTTTCGCGATTTTTATTGGATGTGGATGATATACAGTAGTAATTTATTTGTTTTGAGATATTTTTCAAGTCTGATTGAATATTAATTTACTTGGAGTGGGAAAAAAAGGCAAAATTTTCGGAGAAATTTATCGAACGAATAAAAAAAATTGTTGCTGTGCAGGAATTTATTGAATGCAAAATATTTGCATACTGCGTGTTTCGATGCCTGGTGTTTGAGTAGAAGGTTTTTTAAAATCATTGCCAGTTTTCGTTATTCCGCTATAAATAGAAAAACCTCTTGATCAACAATATGAACTTCCTCTGCTCTAAGCATTTAGCGTGATTTGCTCTTTTTATTTTCACGTAGCACCGAGAGGCTTTCTGATGCGTTGAAGCATCAAAGTGTGTGCGTGTCTGATGTATTGGCTGATCGAATTGGTCTTGTTTTCTTCTTTGTCTGTTCGTGTTCTCGGTGTGCTGTTGGTTATTGGTTGGAAAAAGTATGGCGATGAAGAGCCCATGCCAGCAATTATCGAACCCGAGATGCCTGACCCAGGCGTAAGTTTCATTCCAAGCCCCCCTCTTTTAAAAAAATGGAGGGGGTTTCAAGACTTGCTTGATGCTGTAATAAGCCATGCAGGTTCAATCTTGTGCCCGGAAAAGCTGTAGCTTGCTCGAAAAGGGAAGAAAAATTGCTGGAAGCTTTGTTGCGAGCTTGGAAACTTCTCAGGTTTTTTTTTGTTGTTTCTCCGTCTCTTGCTTCACCTGTGGTGTATGGGTGGGAGACATGTGGTCCCATCATTTTGTGCTTTCTGCTGCTGTTGGTGTTGTTTACGGTGATGGGGGGTTTTCGGTGTTTTGCTGTACAAACGAGCTTGTTTTGCCTCTGCAAGTTTACTGAGATGCGTGTTATACTGCGAAGGGTGCAAATAAAAACTTGGGCACATCTCGTGCAAACACGGCCTGATGTCACACTCTCGACATTGCCTAGACTCGAAGTAGTTTTAGTCTTCAAGAGTCATACAGCGACGCTCTTCTCGAACGGCCTTGTTTCATTCCACGAAGCAGGAGTGCAGTTCAAGAGACGACAATCAACTGGATTCGGAGGTTGACAAGGTTCGAGAAACGGGTTTCTTTTAAAGAGATGGCGCTGTAATCGGCTTAGGTTTTGTATGTTGATTTGAATGCGCAGTAGTAACTGCAAGGTAATTTCAAATACAGTACTGTAGTGAACTTTCCAATGGCAGCCAAAGTTTTCCACGCGTATCTTAATTTTATTGAGAGAGTTTGGAAATTAACAATTTTCTAATGTATTTATCATATCTGGTGGAAATTTCGCAATTTTTTTTGCATTGAATAAAAAAGAATGAACTTGTGTGTGGTGAGGGGGGCATGGGTTGCATAGTGTTAATTTACAATTTTCCTAACCTTTGACTGACACAGTAATTTGGAAGGATGCTTTTCTTAGAAATCACCATGCACTCAATCTCCGAATGTGAGAGAATATTGAATGGCACAGATATTCAAGAAAGCAAACGGATACTTTTATTTTAAAACGCTTTTGTGAAAGAAGTGTGCCTTTTATTTTACTCAACTGTTCCAAAAATGTTTGCGAAATCTAGTGAATGGCGAATAAATCACAGTCGGCAAGGTAGAACGTTAAATTGGAAAAGTGTGAAGTTAAGGTAGAAAAGTTTTACAGCTTGACGCCCGAATTGAAGGTGCTTTCTGTCCATTTATAAGTTCTCAATTTCATTTTGCATGCTCTTATCCAGATCTGGAAAGACGCGGAGAATAGCACGAATCTGCAAAGGTCGCGTCAGCCGAGCGTTTCATCCGCCTTGTCAACACCCTCAACGCAGCGTCGAACTTCAATGGACTCGACGATCGACACGCAACCGCCGTCACCGTCGATGCCCGGCCGCGACGCGACGACGACATCCGTTGGTGACTGTGCAGAAGAACCCGGAACGGGTACCGGAACTGTCGTTTCGAATCCAATGACGACTTCCGTGTCTGTTGGCAACGGCGGCGTGCCTGAGAGCGCTGTCGTGGATCGCGCTGGTGGCGAAGGAGATTGTCCTTGCTGATGATTTCGGGTCCGGCCATGTTCATTTTTTTGTTTTTATTTCTTTCTTTTTTTTAGGCGTTCAGTCGTCTTTGTGGGACATGTGCGAAATATTCCCGGAAGGTCACTTTTCCCCCCTTGAACGTGTTCCTTCCTTGCACCTTCGCAATTTTCCTGCATTATCTTTCGAACTTCCGACTTTCGCACAAAAAGCCGCGTTTTCCCAAAATGATGATTCTTTTGTAAAATTTGTCTTTGTTGAATTTTCAAGCATTTCCGTCTACTCTTATTTTGTTTTTAATCCAAAATAATATGGAATATTTTTATGAATAGATGGTTGTTTACATTTTTCTTCCTTTGACAGAGTAGGCCTCAGATCTGAAGGGGATGAAATTCAAGCTCTTGGTCTAATGGTAGCTCCTCAGCATTAATTTGTTGTTGTAATTTCAGGTTGAAATTTGGACCATGTCCTGTAGTATTCCGATTTGAAAATTGAACCAGAATTTTCGAGCTAATTCCGCTAAAGCACGTGAAAATACCCGTTATGATTGCTTTGGAGAGACATTTCCCACGAAATCTTTTTTATTCTTGGGGGAACGGAATAGTAGTGATACTGCTCCCGAATTGTGTTCAAGCTTAGTTGTCTATTTACATTCAGAAAAATCAGTCGATTTATGATTTCGTTCATCTTCAAATTGATGTTTCCCTTGATGTCTGATTTCAAAAGTAGAAATAATGGTTGAAGTTATGGTAAACATTTTTTTCAGTAACTTGAAAGTATGCGAGGGCGATTCTTTTCATTCGTTAGAGTTTCGTTTTTGTACGTCTTCGCAGTTTTTGGTAAGAAGGTATACGTCCGTGTGCCTCTCCGAGTAGAAATGTTATGTGATTGAAAAGCTTAACGTTGAGTGTACGAAATTATGATTTTATTTGGGAACTTCGACCAAATTTCGTAGATGAACAAATTTCCGGTGTCCGTGATTGATTTCCATTCTATTCTATTTATCGTTCAATTTCCATTAATTTACATTTGAATTATTTTTCCGATAAATTTCCAAAATAAATTTTTAATCCACGGCATTCGGAAAATTAGAGAGGAGGAAAAGGGATTCAGAGTTTTTATCCCTCTCTCGGCTTTTTGTTAGAGAATAACATTTGGAAACGAATGAAATCACGGACGGTAGAATTCTGCAATTTCGCTTTTCTTACTGGGCTTCCTGAATCTCAAAATTTAAAGCAATATTGGTGCGAATGAGACATTGAAAGTGTTGTAACGTTATCCTCGTGCTAGGATCTGTCTGATCGTCTTTTATTCTTGAAATCTTTTCCAAATTGCGATCGTCTTCTCATTGATTTCTCTTGACATGAAAGAAAATCAAATGCTTGAGGTGTGTGATCAAATTTGACTCCGTAATTTGGCAAGTGCTACAATTTTTCGACGCACTCGTAAAGAAACAGATCCTCGTCAGAATGCGGGGAACGAATTTTTTTTTGGATTCAAAAAGAGAAGTCTCGTTGATTTGCGGTGGCTGGAAACGGAAGATAATTTAGATCAAGAGAAATGAGTGAGAGAAACAAATTTCGCGATCTCTTGTTAGCGGTATTTCCCAGCTAATTCTTCAAAATTTTGCGCGTCATATTTTTTAAAAATCTTTTGAGAAAGTTTTTTTTTCACGTTTCCGGGTTGTTCACTTTGGCAACGACGTGCGATAATATTGATAAGGAAAGGAATCGTGGTTCTGTCACTGCGTGCGTGTGCCGTTATTCCCCTCCATGTCCGAGGAATGGTTTTTCTTTGAGGTTCTAAAAGAGTGCAATTTTTTGATTGTCTCGGATCCTGTCCCATTTTTTAACCTTGAAAACTTCTTGATCCGTGGTTGAGTGCGTTTCGGAAGAGCGCATTGGCGAAACAGCTCTTGTGCGAGACGGGTTTTTAGT